TTTTTTTTTTTTTTAATTTCCGTAAGTCATGCAATTACATAAAAGAGTCAATATCAGGTATTTTGTGAGGAAGGGTCTATGTGTTTTCTTTAAGGCAGGTTTATATATCTTAATTCTTACAAATAACATTGTCTACATTTTCATTTCTCTTTTGTTCAAAAGGAGTATTTAGATTTATCTGAATTGTGCATAATATAGCTTTTAGTTTAGTAATGCTTGCTTTTAATTTGACCTAAAGGAAGACAGATAATGTTGGGCATTTATCAGTAAAGATGCATGGGGCCAGAGAAGATTTTTCAGGTGTTTTCAAGCCATACTGAAAAAAATATCATCTCTCATTTCATTTTATCAGTTAATAATTTAAAATTACTTAACTAGGTTAAAATACTTAAATGTTCTAGACTTGAGACATTGGTGGTAGAATTCTTGCCTTCTGTGTAGGAGTCCTAGGTTCAATTCTTGACCAGTGTACCTCATTTGCAGCCGTGACACTTGTCAGTGGAAGCTTTCATGTTGCTAAACAGATTTCAACAGAGTTTCCAGAGTAAGACAGACTAAGAAGAAAAGCCAGGCAATCTACTTGCGGAAATCAGCCAGTGAAAACTCAGTGTATCACAGCGATCCAATATGCAACTGATCATGGTGATGATGGAGGACTGGGCAGTATTTCGTTCCATTGTGCATAGAGTTGCCATGAGGCCAAGACCAGCAGAGCTAACCACATTTTGGTAGACTTGGTGGAGTTTCTTCAGATTAAATATCCATTACTCACTGCCATCAAGTCAGATCCAACTCATAGCATCCCTTCCTTGGGTTTCCGAGGTGGTGTCACTACGGAAGTAGATTGCCCAACCTTCCTTTCGAGGGGTGGCTGGTGGGTTTGAGGAGTGGCTGGTGGATTTGAACTGCCAGCCTTCTGGTTAGCAGTCAAGTACCTTAGGGACTACGCCACCAGAGCTCCTTAAATAGCCATTGGGTATAAAAAAATATAAACAAATCTAAGGTATGTATTTGTCATCTGTCTTTTAGGCTATAGCTGTTTGTATGGAAAATGGAAATTTTAAGGAAGCTGAAGAAGTCTTTGAAAGAATATTTGATGAGCCCAATTCTTACACGGTAATTGTTCAAATTAGAATCGTAGATTCTTAGAACTGTTTATATGGAATGAGGAAAATTGAAATTAGATTGGAGGAGAGGGAGGAATGCTTTTATCTTATAAGCAGTATAGAAAACATTTTCTAATAGAAATATAATAGCAGTTACATGTGATTTTAAATTCCTAGTAGCACAGTAAAAAGCAAAAAAAAAAAACAGGTAAAAATTTCATTAATTGTTGAAATTAATTTTAATGATATGTTTTATTTAACTGTAAAGATCCAAAACTGTCACTTTTAACAATCAAATGAAAATTATTGATGTCGTGTGTATTTTATACTTACAATACATCTGAATTCAGATAGCCAGATTTCAAGGGCTCTTTAGCCACAAGTGGCTTGTGTCTATCCTGTTTGACAGCACAGGTGTAGAAGAAGATATGATAACTTGCTTATTTTTCTAAGAAGTTTCTTATGTGATCAGTTGTAATTTCTATGTGATAAATGTTAATGACAATTAGTAGAACTTAACTTTTTATAAATATTTGGCAAAGTCTATAATTTGAGTGATTCTACTTATGAATAGTCTAAATTAGCTCTTTCCCATTTAACTGCACATTTTAAAGCCACATAATTTTTTTAAAAAAATTAGACGTAAGCCCTACTGAGATTATTTGATTGAGATGGAGCCTGAGAGGTCGAATTTTTTTTTTTAAGTGTGAAAAATTTTATCATGCAGCTAGCATCAAAACAAGTATTTTCAAGAAAAAACTTGTACTGTGCACAAGAAAATATGTAGGGAAACATTTAGAATAGCAATTGCAATAATAAAAAACAAGCTAAATGACCTCAGTAGGCTGGGAGAATGGATGAATATATTTTTGTTCAATGGAATACTAGATAGCAGTGAAGACACTACTTCACCATATAAGTCAGTGTGGATAAATCTCATAAACAGTTGAGCAAAAGATTGTTTCAGAAGAATACATACAGTATACATCTGTATACAATTTTATAAAATGTTAACCAGTATTGCATATTACTTATGGATGCATGCATATTGAGAATCATAGTTACCTTGAGGAGAAAGAAAAGTGCAATCAGATGATGGTAGTAAATAGCGACTGTACTGATAATGTTGTATTTCTTAAGATGAGTAGTGGACACTCAGGATCATATTACCCTTTTTATCCATTTGTATATGTCTGAAATACAAGAATATTTAAAAGAAATTGGAGATCACTAAAAAAATCAGAAAAAAATACATCAGTGGACCGTTTAAAACAAAGAAGAATTTTTTTAAAGCCCTTAATTGTGTCTCTTTGAGCTTATATTTTTAGTACAATGATTCTTCAGTAAATAGTATGATGTTTCTCATATTTTTTATTTTAATTGTGTTTTTGTCTTGTATTTATTGTTTGCTTCCTTTAGCCTTTAAAAAGAAAGTTACTTATGATAATCTCTAAGAAAGATGCATTCCATTCCATTTTCCAACATTTCAGCTATAACCACATGATGGAGAAAATTAAGAGTTATGTGAATTTTGTGCTAAATGAAAAATCATCAACTTTTCTAATGAAGGTATAGGTATGATTTCAGCAAAACTTAACAATGGCCAGGAAAAATTGCAATAAAGAAATAAATAATATATTTTTAATTTAAGTCACTTTTACAGAAATTTTGGGGAAAGTAAAATTGAATGGAAGGATCTGTTTTTTAAAATTTTATAACATTTTTTTCATCTTGCCCTCACCCTCAAATGTTTTAAGTTTTTTTGTGTATTTTGTGTAGTTAGGGGACATCTTGATTGATATGAGGTTGTTTTATTTTAAAATACCTGGAATGTTTGTTGATTATTTAAAGTAACCTTTTATTTTAACATTACTTAGAAAGCATTATGTTATCAAATATATTCACAAGGAAAGACCCCCTCCATAATGTACATTAAACTAAGGGGGTAGCTAAGATAGCTGCTGGCGGTGTCATAGTTCATAGTTACTAGTTAAGATAACGAGCAAACCACTGCCATCGATTCCAGCTCATATTTTATTGGCCTATAAGTAGATGCTTTGGTTAGGACTGTCTTAAAAAATTAGAAAATTTAATTTATGCTAGTTATTTAAAATGGCTTAATACATTCCTGCCTACTTCCACCTCCATTTTTAAGGCAGCAACAAAAGTAGTAGAAAGTAAAAGAGCAAGAACGTTATCTTCTCAAGATAAACTTAATAGTAATGATACTGAAATGGAAACTCAAGCTGATCAAGATACAGGAGAAAGGTTAGTAAGTTGATTAACTGATTTATTTTGTGTGTGTGTTATCAATATTTTTTGTGTTATCAATGTTCTGTGTTTTTGTAAATGGGATGCTAATGAGCCATTATTTGAAATTCATTAATGGGCATCATATCTTACCAATGACGAACATTTGGATATTTAAAGTACTCTGGAGTTACGTTACAACTTACGCAAATTCTGTTGTATATGTTAACCAAATGTAAATAATTTCACTTACTATTTTTGGAGAGAGTATGTGCTCTGGAATGAAGTTGTTCTTAAATTCTACATGCCATCATTATGTGACCGTTTCACTGTAGTAAGGGTTATTGTAGTATTTAAAGATATTTTCATTCATTGTCTCTAAAGCAAGCTAACCACTTAACCTGGTATCAGCTGAAGAAATAGTGATTTGCTCTAATGCTGGAGGAAAACAGATTGTGTCAGTCATACATATGAGAGAGAATAGTTTAGCCTCAAATTATCTCAAATTATCCCTGGGGATTTCCAGGGATGATTTTTGTAGAATTGATTTTTATCTTTTGGCCTGACTTAAAACTAACCTTCCTGAGGAAGATAAAACTCTATCATTAAAGACCTTCTTTTCTCTTGAACCCATGGTTTATTCCCTCTATTTTTCTACTTTTAGCAAAGACCAGATAGTCAAATCCCTGTGGTCTCTGGATGAACCTGTTTGGCAGTGGTGTAATGTTACTATTTCCTCTTGGGATCATGACTTGATAGTTGCAGGGGCCCCATCTTAGCTACGTATTTAGGGGTGAGTATTAAGAGTCCAAGTTGGATGTACACTGCAGTGGTCACATCTTAGGACTGAGCTCTGTTATCCTAAAATGGCCCCTTCTGTTGTTCCTATCTATCAGAGCATGATCTGCTCCTCACTAGTTCATCTCCCAAGACTGTATTGAAGTCTTATTTCCCATAGCCTTTTTTCCTAAGACACTTATGAGAAGTAGAGATTTCATTTTTATTGGCTTAGTTATTTCATTTTGTTTAGGAAATCAACGTTTATTATTAAATATTAAGACCCACGATATTTTTGCTTAGCCTACTGTTGCTTTAAATAGAATTAGGTTAAATAAAAATTTAATATGATTCTTGCAAATGAACAAATTTCATATGCACTCTCCTTTCTTGTATATAGTATCACTAGTTGCTATTGAGTTGATTCTAACTCAGGGCAACCCCATGGGTGGCAGAGTAGAACTGTGCTCCATAGGGTTTTACATTGGTTGATTGTTTGGAGGTAGATCACCAGAGTTTTCTACCAAAGTGTCTCTGGATAGACTTGAACCTACTCCTTTCTGTTAGCACTCAGTATCCTTTAACCATTTGTACTGCTGCCTACTTACTCAAATGCTTTCCTAGACCATAGGTATCTCAAGTTCAATATCGTGTCTCAAATGCTGCTTTTAATGTTCTTTTCTGCCTCTCTCTACCTTTGACTGTCCACTTTCACCTCCTATATTCAGTTGCCCCCACCCCAATATCTTATGACTCTTAGCTTAGAAATGCCTCTCATCCATCCTTACAATTTTTATTGGAAATTATCACATAGCTTTATACTACAATGCATCTTTGACATGACTTCCAGAGTTAAAAAACAAAACAAAACACTGCCATTGAGTCACTTCTGATTCATGGTGACCTCCATTGGGTTTCTGAGGCAGTAAATCTTTATGGAAGTAGATTGCCCCGTTTCCCTTCCGTGGAGTGGCTGGTAGGTTTGAACTCCCAACCTTTTGGTTAGCAGTCAGATACCTTAGGCACTGCACTACCAGAGCTCCAGAGTTAGATTCTTGCAAAAAATAAATCTGTTTAAATAATTTCTCAGCTTATAAACTTCTGCTGGGTTTCTACTTCTTATTAGATGAATCAATTTATTGACATGACTTAGAAAGCCTTATACAGCCTTTTTTTATTTTTTCATCTGTAACCTGAGCTCTTTAGAATTACCCTCTATTTGCCCACGTGCATGATACTTTCTAGCAACACAGAACTGATCTTCAGATGTCAGGAGCTCTTTCACGCCTCTCTGCTCTTAGTTCCTTCTGTTTTATATTCCCTTCCTTCTATTGTCTTCAAGAAAAGCCTTTTCTTGTCCTTTAAGGTCTAGCTCAGAGATCATCTCTGAAGTTTAGCCCAGCTCTCAGATCACAGTTGTCACTTTTGTGCTCCTATAGCGTGTAGTAATTTTCCTATTTTCCTATCTGTGTCTCTCACTAGGTTGAGAATTCTTTGAAGAGCCTTAATTAGCCTTGAAATATTCTAATTGCTTTGTGTCCTGATACCTAGTTCATTATCTGACATACATTAAAGTTTGTGGTGCCCTAGCCACATGAAGCAAAACCAAAATTGTTGTGTGCTATTGAGTCGTTTACAACATAGCAACCCTGTGTGGCAGAGTAGAGCTGCCCATAGTGTTTTCTAAGCTATAATCTTTATGGGAGCAGATCCACTAAGTCTTTTCTCCTGCCAAGTCACCTTTTGGTTAGCAGCCAAGTGCTTAACCATTGTACTGCCAGGGTTCTTTAAAACCAAACTTTGAGACAAGTTGAAGATCAGGAATCAGGCAAATCTAAAAACTATCCTGGAAACAAATAGAACCAGGGCAAGTGAAGTGTTGAATTCACTATAATAGGACAAGAATCAGCAGGATTCAGATGAATTTTGCATCAGAATTGTAATCACTGAGGTCAGACAAGTGCTAGAATATATGGGATAAACGTTTTACTCTGTTAAAGCTTGTAATCTATTTGAGGCAACAAGAATTATGGATAAGAAACAAATGGTAGTTGCTGTCAAGTTGATTTGAAGTGGATGGTGACCCCATGTGTGTAGAGTAGAGCTACTTCATAGGGTTTTTCAAGGTTGTAACCTTTTGGAAGCAGATTGCCGTACCTGTTTTCTGAGGTACGACTGAGTGGGTTTAGACTATCCATCTTTTGGCTAGTCGTCGAGTGATTAACTGTTCACACCACTCGGACTCAAAACAGATAGTTGTTGTTGTTGTTGTTATGTGCCCTCGAGTCGGACTCGACTCATAGTGACCTCTCCTTGGGTTTCCAAGGCAGTATCGCTATGGAAGTAGTTCACCCAACCTTCCTTCCGAGGAGTGGCTGATGGGTTTGAACCACCAGCCTTTTGGTTAGCAGTCAAGTGCCTTAGGCAGTATGCTACTGGAGCGCCTAAAACAGATAGTAGCAGATGTTATATAATTAAATGGACAAGTCTTATAGATAGACTTAAATACTGAAGGAGTTGACAGAGAAAGCTTCACAGAGTGATAACTGAGCATAGCCTTTAAGAATGCCTAAGATTTATACAGGTGGAGAGAAGAATAAATATCGTTTCAGGACAAAGGAATAGAACCAGTGAATACGTAGAGGTTTAAATGATCATGCTATATTTGCTTAAGATTTCAGTTGAGGAGACCAAGAAATTAAACATAAATTCATGGAAATAAAGAGCTATGGAAGATTATTTGGAAGAGTGACATGAATGCCGGATTACACCACTAGGCTTAATTTGTTTGGTGAACATTAATTGATTTACTACCTCTTATAAGCATATCTGGGCAAAAGCTAGCCAAATTGTGATGGGCTATATATGTCCTAATGTTACCAGGGTTTCTTTCCAAAGATGTTTTTCGTAAATTGAAACATGACTTAACTGTGTGGAAAGTATTATCCTTATGAAAAGTTTTTTTTTGTTTACATCTTACAAATTGTTTTCTTCTTTTAAAGTGTTAGTGACAAACAGTCTCCGGTAACTGAATCCTTAGAGGGTACAGTATCCTTATTGAGGTGAAGTAAATTGACATTTTTCTTCTTTATTTAAAAATATTTGATTAAAGTAATCCATGCAGACCTAAATGTATTATAACAATATATATAATATCACCATATAAGTGGTGTGATTTAACAAATACCTCAGAGTTCTGTCTGTCTTGATTGATCGTTCTAGTGGCATGCTACTCCTAACCTTTGAAATTACAAACTATAGAGAACTGTCTCTGGGATCCTGAGTTATTTAATAGTGTTTCTACAAGGCCATTAGTAGAGCACACATACAGGTGTATGTATCACAGATACATGGATATGATGCTAAGGCAGGAAAAGGAGTGGGTAACATTTCTGATGAATGTCCTCAAATTTAAATTCTATGAAATAACTTGAAGTACTATATTTAATCTAGTAACACTATGACACACAATATAACATGTTTCATTTCTGATGAATGTCCTCAAATTTAAATTCTATGAAATAACCTGAAATACTGTATTTAATCTCGTAACATTATAACACATAATATAACATGTTCAGAGAGCAGAAAGTCTGCCTGAAGAATTGTAGTACAAATAGAGCATTTTGGGTTGCTGAATTTCTGGAATTGTGGGAGGGCTGACTGACATGAGAAGTAGGTTATTGGGGATGAAGAATTGAGAGGCCAGGCCAAGGTGTTATATGAGGTGTCCATGAGAACACTGAAATGCTTCATGATAATAGTAGCATTTGAGAACAGGGAAAGATCTGTGAGAGATGAGAAGTGCTTATGAGTGACTGAAGAATGGTGGAAGGTAATATACCTCAGCAGCGTAAGTCCTTGAGGGCTGAGGTTCCAGACTTCTGCAAGTGGCAATTAGTGGGAAATAAAAACAATAGAAACTCTCCTCTGGGACTCTGATTTGTGGAGGGTAGTAGATTAAATCAAGCTGTGCTTGAGAGAACCAGAAGGAGGGAAACATTGTCCTCAGAGGAGAGTTCGGTTTTAGACAAGGCAAGGAGGTAGAAGGACTGTTGAAGAGATTGAAAATAGCATTCCAGAGACCACAGTAGAAAATTTTGGGAGGTTGGTAAAGAATTAGCAGGTTACATAGAACATTTCTGGGATAAACATAGAGGTAAAAAGGCCTACATTTTGGGTGGTGCCATAATAGCTGCCTGTCTTTGCAAGCCTATCAGATAAGTGTGTCTGGCATCATGTATTTCTAAACAGCATGAAGGAATTTTGGGATTTCTCTTTTGGGAATAAATTTATAGGCTATAGGAGAGAATGAAACCCACTACTTTATGATCTGAGGACTCTTCTTCTTGGTCTAATTGAAAGGCCAGAAGAATCCTGATTTCTGAGTGGATTAGATGGAGGAAATAAGTTGTGATGAGGGAGTGGGAAGTCTGGGAACAAACTTAAGAGGCCAGAGGTTAAGATGGTCTCTAAGTAAGTAGAGCACCAAAGGAAGCTGCCCAAAGTAGAAGAGGGTCCTAGAACAGAGATTAAGACAAATAACCTACTTTTTTTCTGTAGCTTTGCTAGTCTTTCTGGAACCAATCATAAGCTTTCTTGCTTTATTCAGGTCTCACAAGAATCTCTTCTTATCTAAATTTAACCAGAGAAACCAACTACAAGAGCCAGAGGAGGAGGAAAGAGTGGAAACTCTTCATAGTGAGTACTATCGATAGCATTTCAGAAGTGTAGGATTGGATGTGTGCTTAAAAGTCCTCCAACTATTCACTTCACCACCACGCACAAATAAACACTTCAGAAAACTGAAGCACAGACAGGTTAAGTGTATTAACTTCATAGGGTTAATTAGAAGTGCTTAAATGAGAAAGTTAATTATTTTGACTGCTTAGAGTACTTTTATTACTATATAGTACATTGCTTTTGTGCCTTAACTATATTCAGCAACTTCAATTAATAACTTTTCTGAAACATACAGAATATTTTTGCCTTTCTTACTGCATATATAGGGACCTCTGGTGGCATAGTTCCTAAGGCATTGACTGCTAACCACAAGGCTGGTGTTTTAAACCCACCAGCCACTCCTCGGAAGGAAGACTGGGCTATCTATTTCCATAGAGATACTGCCTTGGAAACCCAAGGAGGGGTCGCTATGAGTCAGAGTTGACTTGATGGCAGTATATATTTTATATATATATAATTTATCATTCTTGTGAAAGGCAGTACTGGATTTAAAAATATGCAACAATGAGAAAGCTTCTTAAAAGCCGTTTTATTTTCAATTACAGTTTGATTGTAAGTTCCCTTTAGACATATATTCATTCAACAAAGAAGTGTTCTAAGTATGTACTAATGTGGAGACTTTTAAATCTTACAGATTTGAATTTAAATACTTACTGAATATAAAAATAGTTGTTGTTAGTTGCTATTAAGTTGGCTCTAACTAATGGCCACCTTGGGAGCTCTGGTAACTTAGTCCTTAAGGCATTTGACTGCTAACCAGAAGACTGGGGTTCAAACCCACCAGCCACTCCTTGAAAGGAAGGTTGGGCGGTCTACTTCCTTAGTGATAGCGCTTCGGAAACCCAAGGAGGGGTTGCTGTGAGTCAGATCTGACTCAACAGCAGTGAGTTTTTTAATGGCCACCTTATGCGAAACAGAAGGAAATGTTGCTTAGTCCTGTGCTCTCTTCATGATCGTCGGTATCCTTTTAGTCCACTGTTTGGCTATGTGTCAATCCATCTCATTGAGGGTTTCCCTAATATCTTCTTTGGCATTTGGGTTCATGAGTAAAAATTTGAGTAATAATTGTATTAACTAGTCATCTTATAGGTGTAAGAATATTAACATATCACTTATACTTCAGAATAGATTTGAGCGTTCTTTTCAGTAGTGATTGCAGTGCCATTCAGTTTGTTGTTCCCAAATTGAAAATGGCAAATCCCAGTTCCTTTTTGCTCACTAACACTTAGGCTATCAATCTTTAAGCATTCCATTTCATTTTTGACAACTTCAAATTTTTCTTGCTTCATATTAATAAAAAAGAAAGCCTTGAGCCCCAGGCTTACAGGTGAGGAGAGACAACGCAGGGACGCCAGAGTAGCAGGCAGGAAGAGCAGGGAAGGGGATAAAAGCCTTGAGCCCCAGGCTAACAGGTGAGGAGAGACAACGCAGGGACGCCAGAGTAGCAGGCC